GTGCAAAACAGTACGTCCTCATCAGAAAAACTTTGTTTATTGTCAGGTGTCATCAAATTGCCTGTGACTCACAGCGACTCGACAATGGATCTGAACCTGTCCTGTCCTGTGCCTTCCGGACCGTCTCTGACATACTTATGTTACAGTCACTGTATCAATCCATCTTTCTTAAATCAGGTGCACCTTAGTCCTGAAAGGTACATCATTGCTTTCCACCACTTTGTCCTCGGTAGCAGAAGGAATGCATTGTGATGATGTAAATTCAAGCTGCATTGAAGGAATTAGCAAAAAACAAGACTTCAGGGATTGATGGAATATCATTTGACGTGTTTCAATAAACAGTCGCAGAACTGGACATGCTCACCACGCTCTGCCGGGACATTTGGAGGACAGTTACCTGGCCATCCAGGGCCTGCCAGTCCAGCTCCTCAGGCGCCTGCCCTCAGTCAGACCCAACCCCAGAGACGATGTCAATGGATCCTGGCAGAAAGCAGAGAATACCCAGGTTGTCTATTTGTATTTTATTGACCATACAAAGGCCTTTGACGGTGATAAGCATGATAAATTACTACTGGCATTGAGACTAATAGGAATTCCAGAACACTTAACTGTGCTCATGCAAAACCTACACCTAGACCAAGAAGCTCTTATATGAACAGAACAGTGGTTTACAATCAGGAAAGCAGTGTGCCAGGGACGTATCCTCTCGCCATAGCTACTCAATATGTATGCAGAACAAATCATTCAAGAAGCTGGAGTATATTAAGAAGAATGTAGCATCAGACTCAGAGAAAGACTCATCAACAACCTGTGTTATGCAGATGACACAACCTTGCTTGAGGTAAGTGAGGACTGAAACATCTGCTACGGAAGATCAACGTCTACTGCAGCCTTCAATATGGATTACATCTCAAAACCAAGATGACAAAAATCCTCCCACAGTAACAATAGGCAACATCATGATGGAGAAGAGATAGAACTCGTGAATGATTTCATCTTACTTGGCTCCACAATCAATTGGCCAGCAGCCAAGAAGTCAAAAGACTATTGTGGTGGGAAATCTCTGGTAGACGTTTGTAATTTACAGCACACACATAGTCAACTCAGTCCCTAGGGATTCACCCAGGTTCAGGTAAAACTTGTGCTCTGACAGTGTGCACCCAAACACCTGTGTGTGCGAGCTCAGATCTCTCCTTCTTCACTGTGGACTGGAAACAGCGCTATCGACCTCCAATGGGTCGATGGGTGGGAGTCAGGCTGTCAAGGTCCTCCCACCAGGACAGTCCTGCCCTGCAGCAGGAAGAAACCACTAGCTTTGCTAAGGGACCCGCGGCATTTCAGGCGTGCTGTGCTGAGCAGAAAAGTCTCACTGGAGAGAATGCTGCCGCCTGACTGCATTTCTGCGGTTCAGAGAGGACAAACCACAGGGACCCCAACGCAGTGCAGGCCATGGGCAGAGAGGCAGGGAGGGAGAGACTGCATAGCCCAGTGCCTCCAGTCCATCTGGACTCACACTGTGACCTTGTGGGACAGTAGAACTGCCCCATCGCGTCTGCAACAAATTGCTATAGAGCCCGAAGACGCTTTGGTCAGTGTTTCATCCACAGCTCCTCGGTGACCTAGGGGCAGGGGGCCCTGGAGGGCGGAGGGTCGCTCTGTATCCAGATGCTAGTGGCTGTCACAGCGCTGCACGTCCTAGTAACTGCACAACTAGACAGGGAAAGAGGCTGCGCTTCCTGCATGGCTCGGCTAAAGACGGAAGACCCGCAGCCACCGCCCCCTCCCTGTCCTCCGCAGGACAGCCGCCTGCCTTTCGGTCAGCGCAGGTGGGGGCCTCGGGGTGCCCTCTTCCTTTAGGGGTGGGCTGGGTGGCTAGCCAGAATCAGTGCAGGAGGAACAGGGCGCAGGGAGGGAGGTGGGCACCTCTCCACGCCCCTCTCCCTATTGCCCCCTCCCCCAGGCCTCCCTTCCCCACAACCCCCCTCCGCCTCG